CTTTATCCAACAGTCACAAGTTTCAAACACTTTCTTAACCAGAAGACAGCACTAACCATAGGATTGGCATTGGATCACACTTTTGAGATCTAAGGCTTTCCACAGTAAATTTTTGCATCAGCTTAGCTTAAACTACATTGGTTTGTCCCCTCCCTTACACACAGTGACATTTTCTGGTCATCGCTCTCCCTTCCTTTTCTTTGAGTTTTTTCAGTGCCCCCCCCCCAGACCTCTGTGAAACTGGTCTAAAAATAAAGGAAAACCTCAGAGAGAAAAAAAGGAGAGCAATGATCAGCTTGGGGGGGGGGAATTCAGTTAACAGTGTTCCCTCTAAGCTGAGTTAGTGTGAACTAGCTCACAGTTCTTTAGCCTCCAGCTCACACATTTTTGTCTTAGCCCAGGAAGGATGGTTCCAGAGTAAACTAATTTATGCAGTAGCCAAATAGCTCACTCACAACTTTAATGCCAGTAGCTCACAAAGTAGAATTTTTGCTCACAAGACTCACAGCTTAGAGGGAGCATTGGTTAAGATAACAAACTGCAACAGAAACTTGGTGTGGAAAAACCCCAGCATATGATGTTGGTGACCTGTGCAATGAAGTGTCCCAGATAAAAGGAAGCTCCAGGCATTGGGCTGGGTAGGAAGGCAGACTGGCAGCTCAAGGCTGTGCATTAGAAGTTGACCAGCCAGGAGGAGGTGGACCAGGGTAGACCAAACCCCTTCCCCTCCCATTCTGAGGCCCAAGGAGACTCCCACTGAGGTGCCCAACAAGACGCCAGAGGGTGGCAACCCTCAAGGTGTGCAGGCAGAGCGTGATATACGATATCCCTTATTATCCACAAAAGTCGACAAATCATGTGAAATATTCCAGAACTAAAACAGCCATACACTAATCCCTACATTTCATCCAGACTCACCAAAATCTAGCACAGGTCTTTGTTTCTTTCAGTAACTAGAATATGGCAGGGCATATTTTGAAGGATGTGTCAATTGAGTTTTCCCTGAACCACTCAGCATGAGTTCAGGCCTCCTTTCATGGGTTCCAGATTTCTTCTTTATGGTTTTATGCACACAATCCGGCCCCACAGGAGACATCCCCGGCATGCCTCCTGGGGCCCGCATTTGCCTCCTCATGAGGAGGAATGAGGAAAGGCAGGCTGCGGTGGAGCCTCAGCTCCAAGAGGGGGAGCGGAGCCTGCGCAGCCTTAATAGGCTGGCTCCGCTCTCTCCCTGGTCAGTAGCTCGCCTCGTGCTCGGCCCACCCACCCGCCCTGTATGTAGTGTAAGCATAGGTTGGTTGCCCCGTTTTAGGGGGGGCCGGGTAGGATTTTTTTGTCCCCTTCTCTGATTGGCTATTGAGATGGGGTCTTTTTCGCCTACCCTGCACTGCTGTCAGTGGATTGAGGAATTGGTTTGGGATGGTGCCTTGGGGCTGCGGTGGTGTTTGAGGGCTCCTGAAGGCGCATCCCAATCGTTGGCTTGGCTGGGTTTGCAAGCAACTTACAGTTGGCTCCAATCCGGGGCCGTGGTGTCTTGCCGTTTATACGGTTAAGGATGGGGGTCAAAGCGACACCAGGCCCTGCCGTGCCGCTGTTTTTCATATTTGCCCTTGCCGTTACCTTAAGATGTTAATAAAGTGGCCTTATTTCATCCAACCTTGTTGTCTGACTCTTTCTTCCATCTGGGGGGGGGCAAATGCATGCATAACCATAATATAAATATCTAGTTAGGAATAGTGATGGCACTGGGGATAGCAGGAACAACGGCAGAAGTAGTATTTAGTGCCTAAAAATAATATTTTACAATGTCGTGTTTGCAGAGAGCATAGGAGTATCATCAAAGTGAATGGCAGTTCACAGTGGGCACCACCAGAGATCCTTTCTGTGCTGCTGGGAGCAGTGCTGGCTCCAGCTTGCAGGCAAATCAGATAGAGACTGATGGAAATCAAGGACCACATGTTGTTTCTTCCTCTGTGCTCATTCCCACACTAAGAACATGAGAACATTGTTGCTGAATTAGGGCAGGATTGAGTCTCAGTCCTCTGCTAAAACGCTGCAAAATCTCTGGTACACCTATGATACTTTAATTTCTATAGTAATTAGCTTCTATATTGAAACTTTGGTTCTGTTTCCCAGGAGGCTTCAGGCCGCTGCTTTGTGCTGTGTGTGGCCTTCAGGATATCACTGTACACGACTTTGCCTCATGTGACTTTTGCTTTTTAGGAATGTTTATACTTTGCAGAAGTCAGAAGTCACTATCAAATTATAAATAGGTAAGAGTATCAGAAACTAGCTTCCTTGATTCTGTAAGTCACCCTAGCTTAACCCAGCTTTCCTTGACTTCCCTAACCCCAGAGAGAGAAAGGGACTGACTTTGTTGTATATGTCAGATGTATGTCAAATGTTCATCACAGACTTAATTGACAGTTACATTAGCTTCAATGGATGAAAGAGGGTACTTAACATACGTTTTTAGTCTTGTTTCTGGTTGTTCTGATCGACTAACCACAGTTATGGGTCTTGGCAGAACAACCAAGGATATCCTTTATAGAATTGCAAGTGCACTGTTTATGTATTCGGGTTGTGTTGAAAAATTCTGTGTTGAATATTGAAATGCTACAAAAATGTTTTCTGATTTAAGAGTGTGTAATAGAAAAAAATGAGTCTTTCTTTAGAACATCTCTCTCTCTCTCTCTCTTGCTAAAATTGGAAAGCCAGCTTCTCCCCCCCCCCCAAAAAAAATAACACAGTGCGAATGAGGGTGCATGAAAAGGCTCCTGCATCCCTCATTTCCAAATAAACATTACAAGAAGATCCACCTGATCTAGCATCCCGTTTCATACAGTGGCCAACCAGTGGTCCTGAAGGGCTAACGAAAAGGGCACAGAGACCAAGGGTCTTCCCCCATCCTATCAAATTCATGTAAGATAAATTAAAGGCCCTGGGCTCTTAAACCCCAGTTTGAACCTCAAAGCAGTCTTTTTTTTAGAGGTTGTCAAGTCAGAATGTGCAGACCTCTTCGTAAGAAACTTTCAGTCCCATTAGTTTTGAGCCACAACACTGTAGAAAGCTTTTGGGTGCACATTCCATTTAATCACCCTCTGCCATTGGCAGAGAGAGAAGGGAAGAAGAGAGGAAAGAGGAACAGAGATCTGCTGTCAGCTACGTGAGTTAAGGCTTTGCTTCACTTGAGGATGCAAACTAAAAAGTTAAAAAATATTTAACTGTAATGGATCTGGACAATCATGTAATCATGGATCTGTGTGCATCCAAGTTAGGCACCACATAATTACCCAACTATGAAAACAGTTCCTACCTTATAGAGATTATAGTATCCTGACCTGCATGAGCCAGGGTAATCCAATCTCATCAGATCTCAGATAATAACACTATAATTTTTCCCAGTCAATAAAACCAAAAGTTTAAATATACAAATGCACGACTCTGTTATTAAAGAAAATGAGATGCAGAGAATCTGGTTTGCCAGCTCTAAGGGTTACAAAGATCTCAAAATGAATTACCCCAAATTTTGATCATACTTGTACTGACCAAATGAAAATTCCTTCCTATATTCCTCATCCCACAAGGCGTTTGATCCCATTAATTTTGATACTATATTTCCAGCAAAATACACTGTTTTCCGTAATGTCTTTTTGTGTTGGGGGGGGGGAGTCCCAGCCAGCCCGTTTATTTATTGCCTGAATACTGGAATCCCCTTTATGGAAATTTCAAAAAAGGAAACCACAAAGAACCTTCATTAGGGGAGAAAACATTGCAAACCACAGCAAATCATGCCTATCAACCAAATGGTCTTCCTGGTACATTACTTGGAGCAAAAAAGGGTTTCCATTTGGAAGCAAAATCAAAAATGTCCTTCCACTTTTTAAAAGGCAGCTGACCGCTGAGGTCACTGAAGTGTAGTGTGAGAGACAGTACAACTCTGCCTATGGTCTGCAGGCATGTCTGGCAGAAAGAATTATACTGTATAGAACCTTGCATGATTTCCTTGGCAAACACATTCTAGCACAATGGTAAAAATTATTTAGAAGGGAACCGGAGCTTTCAGGAATTTAACTCCTCCTAGGGTTGCCAAGTCGACTCCCCCCTCGGAGCGGGGGAGCCTTGCCGGCGTCCGGGAGGTCCGTTGGAGCGCGCGTGCGCTGGCAGCACATCACCAGAAGTGACGTGCGACGTTGCTGATGTTGGGGGCGTGGCCGAGCTCATCGGGGGGGGAATTGTATGGTTTTCCCCCCGACGAGCTCAGTCACGCCCCCAACGTCAGCAACGTCGCACGTCACCTTTGGTGACGCAGCTTCGGGGGCGGGGTTCCCCCCGGGGGCCGATTCCGCCACGGCGGAAATCGGGCCTCCGAAGCGGGGGGTTACCCGCCCCCGGCCCCATTTGGCAACCCTAACTCCTCCTCTCACCCTTCTCATCAGCCTAATTTTTTCACTGGGCATTAGGCATACTTCCCCAGCAGCAAATTCCCAATGGTACAATATTTTATTGTGTGTACTTTGAAATACGTAGATTTATAGAGGAATGGGGAAAAAAAGATTCAGACAGAAATTATTCTTTCATTAGCTTTCTTTAAAGATGAAGGTAACTTCAAATGATCTTCTATTGAAATGGCACAATTAAGTGAGTTTAAACACATTTAAGAATGAGTTGCAATCCTTTTCCCTAATGAGAGAGTCACAGTCATAGCTTGTGAAGAGGATGGTTGATGTTTCCTGAATAGCCACTTCCCCCTTGATTTTGATTGGCAGAGACTTATTTTTAACTTGTACTCTTTTTTCCCCAAGCAAAGCTTAACATTAGCAGACATATATATGCTTGACGTTTCAAAGCAGGTAGGAAAAACATACATTTCTGATTAAAAGAAAGAGAGGCAGTGGCGCTTCTAATCCTGCACTTAAAAGTGTCCTATATATAGATCAAAACATATCTTGTCACTTCAGAAGGATCTTTAGTGAAGATAAAAAAGAGTGCAAACTTACCATTAAAGTTTACTGCCCGAATATAACCCAGCAGCTCTTTTCCATCAACGGTGCTCATTCGTGGACACAGACCAACGTAGCCTGGGCAAAGATCTTTATGCATGTTGTGCAAGGCATATGCCATAGAATACACAGCATCAATGACAAACTGGACCTTTCCTTCTTGCTCATAAGAAGAGTCTCTTGCAATTCGTTCCAAGCCTGTGAGAAGGAGAAGATGTAAGGAATCAAACTGTCAGTTTCCCCCTCCCCTGCGTCTTCATAGTAGGGTCCAACAGTCAGGAGCAATCTTAGCCAATAGGTAGCTGCCCCAGGCCTCATGCTCAGGGTGAAAGCCCATGCCCCCCCCCCGACAGAGGGGGGAGAAAAACGAGCAGGCTTCTACCACTTCTACTTGCAACCACTCCATCAGGGGGTTGGGTAGCCAGCTTGGTGGTGGCTGCCTATGCCCGCTTTACCCATGACTTACGCAACTAGCTTCTAGCAATGGCTCCAACTTGCCTCACACAGAGAGAGGGACGACTCTTGATTAACCCCTTCCTGGACTATTGCACAGTGCCCAAGAATCCCTAAAAACCCCTGCCAGCATATAGAGAACATGAGAACAATTGATCCCAATTGCTGCACCAGATCATCTCAAAGTCTGCAAGATTCTGCGCCAAAAACAAAAACAAACAAAAATCAGTTACGCACACTGAAAGTTGCATTTTGTTAAAAGGGTCCCAGTGTGTTGTAATTGTTAAATGGGAGGATGGCAGCTCTTTTGAAGAACAAGCAGAAAATGATGGAGTCAATGGGCCTTTTCCGCATTCTAATTTCTTTGCTTGAAAGTTCCTGTTTTTTGGGAGGGGGTTCTTTTCCATGTGTGTTTTGTGCCCTCTTGGAGCTGCGGTGGCTCAAGTGGTTAAGACCCTGAACTGCAGGCTGTGGAAGGTCAGTAGTTCAGCAGTTCGAGACCCGGGTGCCGCATGATGGAGTGAGCTCCCATCTCTAGTTCCAGCTCCTGCCAACCTAGCAGTTCGAAAGCAAGAAATTGCAAGTAGATAAATAGGTACCACTTCGGTGGGAAGGTAACAGCGTTCCGTGTGCCTTGGTGTTTAGTCATGCCGGCCACATGACCACGGAAATGTCTTTGGACAGCGCTGGCTCTTCGGCTTTGAAACGGAGATGAGCACCGCAACCCTAGAGTCGGACTCGACTGGCTTTTGAGCAAGGGAACCTTTACCTTTACCTTTGTGCCATCTAGTGGTCAATTGGATATTATATTGGTTTATGTCTTTCATGAAAACCTGCAGGGAGACATAAACCACACTAAAATGCCCAATATCAACAGGGTAACCTACACCCTATAATTCATTCCTTGCTGCCTGCTCCAACATCTGCGCCCACACTGAGGAACAATGTGCCAAGGAGCCAGACACCAGCTGTATATGTATTGTGACCCCACTGTGACCGATCAGGACAGAGTTTTGCCATCTTATATGTGTTGCACCTTTGGAATTTGTTTTACGATTTTAATTTGTTTTTTTTTTTATTGTCTTGATGTTTTTATGATGCCAATGGCCTTGTAAGCTGCCCTGAGCCTGCTTCAGCAGGGAGGGTGGGGTATAAATTAATTAAATATATAAACAATATTGAATTGACCACTAGAGGAAGCAAAACTCATGTGGAACAGAGAGAAAAAACCAAAGTAATAGGAACTTATAAGCAAGGAAAATGAGAATGTAGAAAAACCCCATAGTTATGGAAGGATCAGGAGTAAAAATTGCCAGTGAATGTTGACTGAAGCTTTATTTATTTATTTATTTATTCATTCATTCATTCACTTTCAGCCACCCTCCCCTGGCAAGCCGGGCTCAGCGTGGTGTATAACATGGTCATAAAACATCAATTAAAAAACAGGTTAAAAACCAGTAACAGAAAAATGTAGCTGGAGATGGCACAAGAGAAGCCAGTAATGCTGCTATCTCACAGGAGGGGGAAGGAGAAGTGCCAGGATGGGACAGTCACTGACCTCAATCAAATGTCTGGCAGAACATCTCTGCCTTACAGGTCCTGCGGAACTGTAACAAGCCCCACAGGGCACAGATGTTATTTGGCAGAGAGTTCCACCAGGCTGGAGCCTGGACAGAGAAGGCATTGGCTCTGGTTGAGGCCAGCTGGATGTTTCTCATGCCAGGGACCACTAGTAGATTCTGATCTGCAGAGTGCAACATACTTCTGGGGTTATACCAGGAGAGGTGGTTCCAAAGGTATGTTGTAGCAGTGTGGGTCCTTACAGGGACACTGCGCATAACACATATCCACCTTGTGCTGTGCAAGCGGCACTGGCTTCTGGTGGAGTACTGGATCAGGTTCAAGGTTGGTACCTTTGGGACCACCTCTCCTGTCCACCAGGTGGCCCCGTATCCTCTCACTGCCAGCTTTCACCAGCCAAGAAAGACATGGAAATTCCAGTCCTCTATCAGCTCATCTAATGAATCACTGGGGGGTACTGGATCCTGCAGAGCATTCTGAAACCCAATTGAGTCCATTAGTCTCCATGGGCGAGAATTAATCCACTTGCTGCCTAGACAGGAGGGGCCTGGGACACTCAGCCAAGCCTTCAGAGCAAAATGATCTGACCATGGTGCTTCATCCTTAGTTATCAGATCGGTACCTATCCCCATGCCAAAGATCAAATCCAGTATGTGGCCTGCTTGATATGTGGGACCTGAAACAATCTTGGAGAGTCCTAGTGCTGCCATGGAAGACACCAGGTCCAAAGCCTGTGAGGAAGCGGCAGCATCAGCATGGATGTTGTAATCCTCAAGCACTATTAGTCTTGGGAACTGCAAGGCCACGCCCGCTACCATCTCCAGCAGGCTCAGTAGGCTGTCCACTGGGGCAATAGGTAGTCAATACACCAGAAAGACAGCCAAACTTTCCTCAGCATCACACACTAAGCCAACACAATCAATATTGGTGATCTTTGGGACTATTTTTGACAATTTTATTCTGCAGGAACATATGTAGAACATTTAACAGTGTCAAACAAATTTCAAAAAGGTTCCCTAGCTTTCAGTCCTGCTAAGGGGGGGGGGGGGGGGCAAAACAAATTTGGGTGAAAAGTGGATTCCAAAAAAAAGGTAATCCATGATTCAAAAGCAAACTATTTCAGGATCCTGTGATGATACTGAGCCTATATATGTGCCTCCAGAAATACAAGGAATTAAGAAAGTGAAACATTACTTTTTGTTCTGTAGCTTGAAGTAGTATAGTGGCTATTTTTGCACCCCTACCAGGAGCATTCTAGAATGTGATGAACAAAGTGGTGGGCCATTTATATTGAGTACTTAAAGAAAGTCAGCAGTGTTCAGAGATGGAAAGGGTCTTCACTAAGATCCTTTCACTAAGAGAAATATGAATCTCCTGACCACCTTGTGCAAAACACAAAGAACAGGTACACTACAAGAGATATTTACAGAGCAATGGACTCATACAAGCAACATGCTGGAAAACAACAACAAATAACAAATCCTAGGCAAGAAGGAAAGATTGCTGGAGCTGCCACATGGATATGTTTCTCTCTCTTTTTTTTTATGCCCCCGGAGGGGATTTTTTTATTGCATTTTTTAATAATACTACAAACTACAACAGAAAATGGGAAGGGGGAACTACATTTATTGGATAAAAGAAAGATACCCACTACTAACTAAAAACCCAAGAGAGGAGATCTTCTGATCAGTTTAAACAAACATCAAGTCTTAATCCCGCTAATCCCTTTACAAACTGAGTCAAGTTTAACAATAACTTTTCAGTTCTTAAAATTTACTGTCATTAAGAAATACCACAAATCATCTCGTTTCAAAGTTTTTCCAAGGCACAAATCAGAGCCCTTCAGACTTCACTTCTCCTTGCCCCGTCTCTTCCGCAGCTTATAAGGACTTTTAGGAGCTGCTGCCCCTTTCTCTGAAAGAGAGTCCTTTCCGGAAGAATCCAAGTCCAGCTCGCTGTCCTCCCCTTCTTTTTCTTCCTCCTCTGGCCCTCCCAACTGGACTCTTAAAAATTCCCGAGCTTTCAGAGCAGAGTCAATCTTTTCTTTATTATCCTTGATTTTGAAGGTGACACATTCTGGAGTTAGCCATCTATATCCAATTGAATTTGTCTGAACCTTTTTTTGTTTAGTTTCAAAAGGAGTATAATATATTTGGAAAGAAATATCTGTATGAAATTGTAATATATACTCAATAAAAATAATTAAAAAAAAGAATTTGTCTGAAGAAAAAGAATAAGGTCTTTATATTTCTTTCTCCTTTGTCTTATTTCAAATGGAATATCTTTTAGAACTCTGATGACATTTTCCCCAACTTTCAGGGGTACTCCAGATACTGCTTTCAGGATTGCATCCCTCACGTGCCTCTTCGAGAATCTTACAACAATTTCCCCATGCAGAATGTTTTTCTTTATATATCCTGAATATGACCTATAGGCTACATCCATATCGCTTATCAACAGTTCCGCCTTCATCTCCGTCACTGGGGCCAATACTTCACTCATCATTTCCTTTAGATTCTCTCCTTTAATCTCTGGCAAGCCCTGAAAGCGAAGAATCATGTTAGCCTTTTCCATTTGTAGTTGTAGCAATTGATCTTCTGTGGAGACTTGCTTCTTTTCCAGTTGTTTTACTTTTTTTTCACCTTTTGGGCAGTGGCATCCACTTCTTTCACCTTCTCAGCTGTTTGATTCATCATTTTCAAAGTCTCATTTATCTGGGTTTGCTGAGTGGTGATACATTGAGTCATATTAGACATCTGTTCCTTGAAGTTATTCAACTGGTCCATTAGAGGGCGCATGGATTCTGCCAAAATCTTTGCCAGCTCATTGGTTCCTTCCGGCTTTGGGCTCTCTGTCACTTTTGATTTCAGCAACTTCTCCATTTTCGTCCTCTTCCTCGCTATGTTCCTCAGTTTGTTTAGTTTCACAATTTTTTTGAAAGTCTCTGAATATGCGTTTAAACGCTCAAACACTCCTTGGTAAGTACTTCTTCACCATTTTAACCATTTTTTCTTCCACTCCCCCCTCATTCACTCAAAAGTTCATGCGCTTGGGAGGCATCTCTCCCTCGCTCGCCTTAATCTCTGCTGCGTAGGTTAGGGTAGGGAGCTTTCTTTTATCTTTAAACATCACTTAAATGACTCATGTTCATAATTGGTCCTCGGGCCTCGTATACGTTCTCTTTCAGATGCTCAATCTCCTGCGCTTGCCCTGGTTAGCGTTGCTTATGTCCATTTGGTCTCTCAACATGGAGAACCATCAGAACGGAGAGGCGCCTCAATTCTCCAGCATTCCGCCATCGAAGAGGCGACCTCTCAGAATTTCCATGGCCAGGGTCCCTTCAACCAGGTCCCTGGGGGGTGACGAGCCTGCGCACCCCCTCCTTCGACTGGAGCGCAGCTTCACCCCCAGGAGGTCCAGGAGGTGAGTCTGCTCTAGCGCGCTGCCATCACCGGACGTCGATATGTTTCTCATCAATAACTGCTCTCTTCCTTTTCTGATTATGGATAGATCAAATGAAACTATCAACTTAGAACAACTGCACAAAAAACTGATCACCATGTCCTCAGCATCCAGTTCTGACACTTAACCAATCTAAATAATTCCTCTATGGTCATCATTAAATTCCACATAAGACCTCATACTCTGTTGTTTCTTCCTACATTGATTATCTATATCTTCTAAAAGAATCCTGTAATTCTATTTATTTATTTAATACTCCATCTTTCTCCTCAATGGGGACCCATGGCACCTTGCATCACTCTCCTCCATTATATCCTTACAATAACGAGGTAGGCTAGACTGAATAGATAAGAAAGAAAAAAATAAATAAAACTGTTGAATAAAACATCAGTTTTTTTTCTTTGTGTCCTCGTTTGTCTGTAGTATTTTTTTTTTTTGAACGGATTCAGATTTTTGTCAGGGCTTTTGAAATTTATTTAAAATAATATTCTCTACGGACACAAAAATTGGTAATGTAATTTCATGCATACTTATGTCCTGCTTTTTCATACTATCGGTATTCATATTCTTCTTATAACCCCTTTCACATCTTGCTAAGAAAACCACTATTGAAAGCTAACAGTTCCAGAAGCAGGTTGTGACAAAACATGACATGTTGTGGCATGTGAAATAGAAGAAAGCACTCACAATGGCAAAGGCATTCATTAGGGATCCACATTTGCATCAAAAGATAGATATGACACACCCTCATTTGTTCTATTTGTTGGCTGCCAGAACGTATTGAAGAAAACCCAGAAACTGCAGATAGCTCAGATTGTGACAGTCCAATGATTGTCAGGGGCTAGCAGAAGTGTTTCTGCTTGTTCATGTAAACGTTTTGATCCAAGCCAACATTGGAGTGAATTCAGGCATCCTTCAAGGAGCTTTCCCACAGCATAAGGTGGCTTTTGCCAATTTAAGCAATTCTTCTTCCAATGGAAAAGCCACTTAATCTGGAGGAAGGTGCCTTAGAGGAAAACTCCAAACAAGCCAAAAGAAAAGGTGGGGTACAAATATTTTAATTAATAACTAGATAACTAAATAAACTTCACAGTGGAGTGATAGGATCCATGTCATTTAAAAAAAATAATCAGCAATCATTTATCATAGTTAAATTCCATATATAGACTCATTTATACAGACAGGGAGAACTTTTTTCCATTTCCAAATCCAGCCACCAGAGCTGGGAATGGGTTTATTAACCTTTTCTTCCATTTTCCCCACTGAAAAAGCTGACTGTTGAGCCATTTTTGCCAGCACTAGAGAAAATCTGAGATTCCCTGCATGTTTCTCAGCATGGTAAAAACAGCCTGGCATTAGTGTTTTTCACTGGGGGGAAAGGCAAGAGATGAAAGAGTTAAAGAACCCTTTTGCCCTTTTCTCCTCCTCTTCCAAAATGCAGCCCCAGCAGCTGAATTTGGAAAAAAAGAGAAAAAGCTTCTAAAATGATCACAGAAATAAATATGTAGTTGTGCCCTAAATCACCTTCATAAAGTTTGCTGGGTGCAACTCCACGTATCTTAACATGTCTGCACATCATAAATGATTAGATTTACCATGCTGGATAAAACAATGGTCCAGTTTTTATCGACAGAATTAAAGCAGACAGGTAGAATTATGACAACCTGCTTTTTTACCTGTAATTATTGTGCATTGAGCCACACTTCTGAATTCAGTATTGCATTCTGAGTTCCTAAATAAGGTGGGAAAATGTTTCAAGAAGAGGAAGCTACATAGACTGATGTTTCCACAGGTT